GACTTTACTTCTCTGTGTTTGTGTCATATTGTCGGACATTCCTCACTCTTCGTGCACATGCAAACAATAGCGATTAATAGTCCACATACCGACGTAAACCTTGTGGGGAGTCCTAGTCGTCACAGCGACAGATAGACACGTGCATTTCACCAAGGTTCACCCAAGGTCGGTGAAATCTGACGAATGAAATCCGATCGGGATATGAGAACAAGGTTGATCATATCAAGGTTGCACATATGTACGTGCGCTAGAAAAGGTATAAAACCTAGGCCTGCCTGGAATATATAGCTAACTCCTCCATGTATCATTTAACAAACACGATCTTCTCCTACTTAACCTTCTACTTACCTTTCGTTCAACAACATGGGACCCAAGTGAGTTGCTCCTCACTGCGTCCGCTATTCACTATTCGCTAGTCACTATTCACTATAGGGTGCACTATAGATCCGCCGTCTCTGCCGCCGGCGAAACAACCACACCAGGAATTAAGCACGCCGGAAACCACTGCGAGCTCGACATCCACTGCAACTCCGACTAGCCCCGCCTCGTGCAGCGCTCCCACTTTAAGGTATGGCTTAGAACTTGTAAACAAACTCACCGCTAGCCACGTTTCTGTGTTGCACTTTGTGCAGCCATCTTTGCACGTCTCGCTTTGTATGTTTGCATCAGTGCGCTTAAGTCTGTGTATTGAAGTTTCTGTAATGCAGCTCGCCTTCTAGAAATTTTGCACGTCGGATTTGCCGACTAACAACTCGATGAATCAAAGTTGCTTACTTCGACAACATACACCATACACCTAGATGTTCCATCACACTTGCGTTTAACCATTATCGGCTTCATACACGGGGGACGCGGACGATTTGATTCTGCATGGTACACTCTGCACGTAAATGTGTTGAAAATTTTAATGAAGCTCGTGTGGTTCTAGTCGTTGCTATTTCTTTGCAACATGGACTGACCTTGTATTGTGTAGGATGTGCAGATGAGGATGGCGGTGAGTAGTTGAACACCCATTGATGTACCGAGCTTTTGTCGTTTGGCATCAGGTGATTCCATATTTCTGCAGGCAACAAGAAATTGGGTCGAATCGGAACAGGCAATGTGTAGGGGTAGGGGTAGGATATGGGCAACATGGACTGGTGCGACTGGTGCGATTTCACGGCTTGGTGCGTGTTGAATCACGGTTCGGTGCAATTCAACATGCATTGTGTGTTCAACGTGAATTGTGTGTTGAATTTCGCGGTTAGTGTCTAATCCCGCGGGTCGGGTCGTGTTGTGTGTCGCACCGAAGTCCGCGTTGCGTTTCTATTCATTGCTATTCGTTGCTATTGTTTCTATTCGTTGCTATTCGTCCTTTCTATTCGTTGCCATTGGTTTGCAACGTGGACTGACCTTGTATCGTGTAGGATGTGCAGACGAGGATGGCGGTGAGTAGTTGAAGGACCGTTGATGTGCTGAGCTTTTGTCGTCTGGCGTCGGGTGATTCCATATTTCTGCGGGCAACAAGAAATCGGTTCGAATTGGAACAGGCGATGTGAAGGGGTAGGATACGGGCAACGTGGACTGACCTTGTATCGTGTAGGATGTGCAGACGAGGATGGTGCGTTTGCAGAGGTGTTTGTGTAAGGAGGACAGGTGCGTTTGCGGAGGTGTTGTGGAAGGATAACTCGCGAGTGTTTGTAGGAGATGGGCTGGCGTGTCGTATAAATGACCGAAGTCCGACGTCTGTTCGCCTGTTCGGCTGTTCGCGTGTTCGAATCGCGCGTTGAATTACGCGTTGAATTGCACGTTGAATTGCGCGTTGAATTGTACATTGAATTGCGCGTTGAATTGCGCGGTTTTGGGCGCATGGAACTGCGTGTTGAAGTGCGCGATTCGGTGCGCCCAACGTCCATCGTTGAATTGTGCGTTGAATTGCGTGTCAAATTGCACTCTGAATTGCGCTGTTCGGTACGGTCAACGTCCATCGTTGAATTGCGCGTACGGCATTCCTTCCGACCCGGAATTTTCAAAACGATCCGGATACTTGGACTCCGCGTCAAATTGTGCGTTGAATGAATTGCGTTCGGGTGCATTGAATTGCGCGTTGTACTGCGCGTTGAATTGTGCGTACGGCATTCCTTGAATTGCGCGTTGCACGGCGCGTTGAATTGCGCGTTGAATTGCGCGTTGAACGGATTGCGTTGGGGTGCGTTGAGTTGCGCGCTGAATTGCGCGTCGCACGGCGCTGTCTTAAGCACGTACGGCATTCCTTCCAACCCGGAATTTCCAAAACCAGTCGGACACACGGACGTTGCGCGTTGAAGCGCACGTTGAATTGCACGCTGAAGCGCGCGTTGAATTCCGCACCGAATTGCGCGCGTTGAATTGCGCGCTTCGGTGCGTGTTGAATCGCGGTTCGGTGCGTGTTGAATCGCGGTTCGGTGCGCGTTGAATCGCGCGTTGAATTGCGCGGTTCGATGCGCGTTGAATCGCGCGGCGATTTGTGCGTCGAATAGAACGGCGCGGTGCTGTGCTGCGGTGCGGTGCGGTCAATGTTCAGTGCGCGTCGAATTACGCGTGTTAAACTGCGCGTGGAATTGCGCGTGTTAAACTGCGCGTGGAATTGCGCGTGGAATTGCGCGTGTTAAACTGCGCGTGGAATTGCGCGTGTTAAACTGCGCGTGGAATTGCGCGCCGCGGTGCGTGTTGCGCGTCGATGCTTCGGTGCGCATTGCACTGCGCGGTGGGATGCGCGTTGAAGCGCGCGTGAAGGTGCGCGGTACGGTACGCGTTCGATTACAACGGCGCGGTGCTGTGGTGCGGTGCGGCGCGGTCAATGTTCAGTGCGCGTCGAGGTACGCACCGCGGCGCGCGTTGCGCATCGATGCTTCGGTGCGCGCCGAAGTTGCACTGCGCTGAAGCGCGCGTGGAGGCGCGCGGTGCTGTGCACGTTGAACGGAAAAATTGCGCGGTGCGGTGTGGTCATCCACGATGTGCGGCGCTCCCGCCCCTACGCGCGCGCGCAAAAAACACGCGGGCGCGGTGCGCGCTGACGCTTCGGTGCGCGTTGCACTGCGCGGCGGGGTGCGGTGCACGACCGCACGAACATGCACGACCGCTCTCGCCCCTACGCGCGCCCGCAAAAAAGACACTCCGGCGCCGAGACCGAACCGGCGAGCTCCACTTCCACTCGCCGACCAATCTAACGCGCACGACGACGACGAGGAACGATAATATGGGCGCGGTGCAATACGTTGCAATCAACGCTCAACGGTCCCGCCCCTACGGCTCCCGCAAACAAAAAGCACGAGTGCGCGTTGCGCGTCATGCATGGATGCGCGTTGCACTGCGCGGCAGAATCCGCTCAGCATCCGCTCAGCAATATACCTATAACCTATAACCTATATATATAGGTATATAGGTAGGTAGGTATATATAGGTAGGTAGGTATATAGGTAGGTATAGGTAGGTAGGTATAGGTAGGTAGGTATCGGTAGGTAGGTATCGGTAGGTATATAGGTAGGTAGGTATATATGTATATATAGGTTTTGAGGACCAACGGATCATAATAAAAACGAACATACGCTGGGACCTATCAAGCATCTTTTTAACTTGACCCACCATCGTTTGGATGAACGCGCGCCGCAAGCTTTCTGTGAGTTGGGTTGGCCTTGGAACGTAGATAAGTGCATCCGCGCTGAGTTGTCCACGGAACTTACATCTCTTTCGCCTTTTACTAAAGAGATCAGCGAAGACAACTCGAATAAGGCGCCTCGGTCAAATCTTTGCAGCGCAATCCGCGCTCCTCCAGAAATTGTCAAATCTTCTCATTAACGATTGGAAATTTATGTCATTTAGGTCTTTCTGAGCGGTCCAATGGAATTCGGAGGAATGCGTCTATGGCCAGCTGCATCGACGCGGGGATGAACTCGCAGTTGACCAAGTTTCGTATGGTGGTTGGTGGCGATTGCTGTACCCTCTGTCTGCACGGGTGACTGGATGTGGAAGGATCCTGTTGGCAGGACCCCAAATCTCTTTGGACTTTCAGTTCGTACGGCGGATTGAACTCTCAAAATATAATGCATGGCCGCCGCGCTTTGACTGACACCCCCGCATTCGTGCGAAACTTGTAAACTATGCTAATACACATAATGAAGTCAAAATCCACATAACGCGTATACATTGTGACACAAAACACACAGGGGTCAGCGGCGAGCTTGTAAATGCATTGCAACACCTCCATTACGTAAGGCAAGGGCCAAAGGCCCGCGTGTTAGCCACTGCGCCAGTGCCTCTCGATGTTATCCTACTACCACTAGGCATGTCCCCACCTACATGCAGTACGCATACACCAGTCAAAACGCGGTGAAGACGCCGAAATAAATATGAGGCGGCGAAATGTAGCTGCTCACGTGTGCCTCGAAAGCATCGCGTGATTCACACTTACCGGGTTGTCTGCAGATGTCGGGAAAGGGTTGAGGAGAAGAACCCCCGCTCCCTAGATAATGTCGACATCTTTTGCTATGGTCGTGTGTCATCCAGCCGCGTTTCCGATTACATGACAAAATCATATCATATATCATTGTATTACAATCATTATGAGAAGGAAGCCACACCAGAGCCTAACCACTACTTAACGCGTTCCTGCAGATCCCGCAGCTCTCCGGCAGCTGGCAAAGCTGTTGGCGCAGAGGCTGCCCTACAGCTAGTAACACACGCTTATTAGATGGACGGCATCCTTCCCAACCATCTACCGCATCTACCGCCAAACAAAAGCTGCTGCTGCTGCTGCAAAATGCGAAGGATATTGATATGAACGTCCTGCCAAGGGCGGGCGTAGCTGGGAGTGAATCCCAAAACCATGACTCCTGCCGTTCGCCTCACCATCAGCCCATACTACATGTGCTAGCTTCGCATGTATGCTAAATCGCAGGGCCCTGGGCGCTGCCAGGTAACTTGACTGCAATGTTCCAGACGCGTCCCACAGCCCGCATTCTCCGCTGCTGCTGCAGCCGCTGCTAGGGGCCAAACATCCGCCGATAGAGAGCGAGCCGGCTCATCAGCAAATTACGTCCCTCTCCTCCGCCTTCTGCCTTCTCCTCCTCCAGCTCCTTACCCTTCGCCACACGCGCTCTCTGATCCCAAGGTGACGACAGGTAACAGCTAAAGCTGTCACACTCGTGTTCCAAGTTTTTGTTTCAAAGCGAAACATCCGATCCGAACAGCCCTGAACGTCTTTGAAGTGCCTTTGGCGGCACTTTCGCGGCACTCCCGCAACCCCCCGGCAAATCACTGCGGCGGTCTACTGCCGGACAGGACAGGACAGGACAGGACACCCACTGCTGCCCACACGAACCAAACTCACGGGGCCCCTCACTGCGCCGGCCCCGCTCCCCATTCCATTCATCCACCGCTCCTCACACGTACAGCTGGATGAGCTCATCACTGACCGCAGCCGGAGTGAGCACACCCAAATCGGTGACCAGCAAGCTGATGCACTGCGGGGGCGTGTAGTCGCGAGACGGGTTGATCACCTGCGTGCGAAAGCAGCCAAGCCAAATTCCCGTTACCCAGTTTGGAGATTTCTATGTTAGATATAGTGTTGTGTGAATAGTGTAATACATATGTATATATATACATATATAATATATATGTATATATGCATTTATATACATATGTAGATATATGTACTATAATATATAGTGTGCGAAACCTGGTGGGCGAACTCTTCAAAAATGCCCCAATCCTCGAGTACCCCGGTCAATTCTTCCGAAAACGCGAACTACCAATCATGAGATGTGCGATCCCCGACTGCCTATTCCGTGGTAAAGGTGTGGCATGAAAGACGATTGGAATGGTCATAGTGAAAAGCTATCAGGTCTCGGAGCTCAACTGCCACCGGTCTTTCGGGGTCTTTTCGGGGTCATGGAGGTTCGGGTTCTACTGCGCAAATGCAAAGAGGTCGGCAAAGGCGAACAAGCGCCACTACCCGGCTCTGTCTGGTTGCGCTGCCTTGCTAATGGCGCGGATGATTTATCCTGAGCAACACCAGCAGCAGCAGCACAACAAAGTAGACTTGTACTGTACAAACATATTTACCCAGCATACACTGCCCATCTTTTGCTCAACTCTTCACCACCAGGCTCAAACAGCTTCCATCCACTTTGTCGCAAGTACACACGCATAAGCACATGTGCGTTCTCGTATACTGTATGCCTTGAAAAGGAAGGAAAAGGTATAGGTGTGATGATTGACAACACGACGGATTTACCTCTGTGCGGGGCGGCAACATGGGCCCTACGTCCAGGGGTTTGCGCTCCTCCGGCAGGTCGGCCTGTCCCAGCGGATACAGACGGGCGAACTTGTACGACTCCGCAGCGACGTAGAATGGCTTGGACGCGGCCTGTGTGGGTTTGGGTGGTTTCGGAGAGTTAAAAAGAGTTTGAGAAGCGCTTCGAGGGACAAAAAGGCAGCGCAGTAAAATAAAAAAAGATTACCAATGATGCAGCAACGTAGCCAATAGCAATAGCTGCTGGACGACGACACAATAACTACAACACGGGCGTGACATGCGATGGGAAGGGCGGGTGTATGTATGTATGTACGTATGCGTGTCCTGACAGCCTCTTTGCGCCACCAGCACCGCCACCGCACACACGAACCTGAGCCGCCAGCGCAATCCCGTAGGTGCCCAGCTTGTTGATGATGCCGCCGTTCTCCACCACCGCGTCCGCGCCGGTCAGCACCATGTCCACCCTGGAGCACCACCACCACCGCCACCACCGCCACCGCACAGTGTAGGACACCGGACAACCGGTCAGAGCAAACGAGGGCGGGCGGGACACGGGGGGGAGACACAGGGGGAAAGACGAACCACAAACGAGGGACACGGGGACACGGGGGAGGGGGGGGGGCCTTAAATCGGAAACGCCGCTGACTCATAGTCAGCCTCCGAAACTTGAAGGGAGGACGGGAGAGAGGACGGGAGGGAGGAGGGGGGAAATCATGTACAAGAAACTCAGAAATGAACTACTTACTGCCGGCGCCCAAAGGGAGGACGGGAGGGAGGGGGGAAAGTTGCCTGGAAATAAGGTGCAGATGTGTTAGATGTTGTGCATGTGCCGTACTGTACGACAGCTACTACATACATACGTACATACATAAGACATATGTACCTGTCCATGATGTACGCCACGCAGCTGTCCAGCACCAAGGTAACCGGGATTTTCTCCGCGTCCAGTTTCTTGGCCAGGGTGATGCCAGTGCCGTCCGGCCGCCCCTCAGTCACAATAACACTGAACTGAAGACCCTGCGCAGAAGTACCCACCAGCAGTAGCAGCAGCAGCAGCAGCAGGATAGCAGCAGTAGCACCAGCACCACCAGGACAACAGCAGTAGCAGCAGCAGCAGGATGACGGGCCAAAAAGGAAAAGGGAAGAAGGATCATCAGGGTAGGGAGGAAGAAGGGTCGACGGGAGGTGAGGGGAAAAGACGAACCACGAGCGAGTGAAGCTGCAGCCAAGGGGAGGGAGAAGGAGAAGGAGAAGGGGGAGAAGAAGGGAAACCATCCCACCTCCTCCTCTATTCAATCGCCTTCCCACAAAGACTACAATCCTAAGCAGGTGTGCATCTGCCTCAGGGTTTGAGCAGTTGCATTCGGGTTCTCCAACCTATACCCATTTCAGCCCCATACGGACGATACCTTTCAAAAACTAACACCAAGCCGCGCTCTCTCCGCCATCTTCTACCCTGCCACACGCATATTATATATATGGTGCGTGTGGCAGGGTAGAACGACGGCTGGTGAGCGGCGTTACCCCCCATCTATCTACCTTTCCCCGATAACCATCGCGCACCCTCTTCCCCCGGACGCGCGCCCCCCACCTGGCAGCAGCTTCACTCGTTCGTGGTCCGTCTTTTTCCCCCCCACACACACACACCCACGCGGGCGCCTGACACACGCGCAACCTCCCAACCCCCCCCACACACACGCACGCGGGGTGCAGTAGCTGGTACGCAGTACGTCACACGTCATAT